GCATTCTAGGGCCAGTAATAGCTTAAGAAATAATGTCAAGTCTCTCCTATTTCATTGTGATGACCCCTGTATTGTGATAATCTCACCAGAGCACAGTGAGGGTTTTTTTCACCAACATCACTTAAAATAGTGAAAAATATCATTTTATGACAAAGGAGAAAATATTATGAAAATATAACCATGGCAATCATTACCTAACATGCTTTTATTTTTGAATACTGTATGAAAAATGCAGTTGTGGCCCTTTCTGGATAAATGGAATATTAGTCATATTAATGTTCAAGAATTCAAAATTTCCTTATTTGAAAAACTGTATATGCTTAGTGCTACTGATAAATGTGCAAACAAATTACATAAATGGAAACACACGTTTACTGGAGTGTGTTTATTTCAAGGAGGAGTATTCTTTAAAACAAAAAGAATAATAAAATGTAATTTCTCCATGAAGAAAAAAAATTAATTGGTCTTTTCTTCACTGAAGTTTGCTGCTTTTTATTTTTATTTTCTACAATGATATCAAAATTGATTCAGCAACTGTCATGTAATATCATTCATTGTTTCCATTAAATTATGAAACATCTAGGATGCTATGCCTAAAGTGGACCAATGAGAAAATGGCAATTGTGTCCTAATATTGTCAAGGGGAAACATGAGGGACAGTAGGTTATGTGCCACAGATGTAGATGGATACATTAATGCATCCTGAAATTTAGCAAATACTGGTGAGTCTTAAATATGCAATCAAAAAATAAAGTGAATAGTTGTTTCAAAAAGATGTCTTTGATCTCATTAAATTTCAAGGTGGGAAAAAAAATAAAGAAACCCCTTCTCATTGACTTAAGAGGGTTAAGGTCATTTTTGTGTACAAAAAGTCAGAGTAATGGTAGATATGTGTGGGTCCTTTTGTACAGTTGTCCTATTCTCTGCTTAATGCTCTTTAACTAGGGAAAGCTGTTGTGACAAAATGAATGGCACAGTATCTTCTAGCATTAAACTGTGATGTTGTCATGGAGTCTCTGTGTCTGGACACACTGTACAGCTATTTGACAGTATTACTTCAGCTAACATTAGCATCCGAAAGCTCCTACCTTGCAGTTAAACAATTTGCATAGGACTTCACAAGAAAACCTGAAATTCCTGAATGTGCTGCCATTGCTCTCAACATAGTGCCATAAAATAACTTGACAGGGATTGTCTTGCTCATACCTTGGCCCAGGGTATGGGTTTAAAAAAACCAAAACTTCATTTTGATTGCATTCCTTGGACAATATAATTAACAACAGTTTCCTGTGGTTAGTTTATTACTAATCACAATCAACATGCAAGTCAAACTACATCACCGATTCCCTTTGACTTAGTTGGGTTTTCAAAGTATGCAAACCATACATTTTAAAGTACACTGCTTGTGTTTAATATGTAATTCACATCTAAAACTATAGGATTTTAGAGCGACTGTGAATCGCTGAACAAGCTTCATTTGTTTCATCTTTACTTTTGTGGAAGACCAACCATCATTGACATATTTAATATAACATGGAAAATGAATGTGCAGCAGTTACAGATCTACCACAGTTTCACCAATGTGTGGCTTTTCTAACCACCTGCAGAATCTTTAAAGTTTTCGTCAGGTGTTGCAGTGATATGACATCCCTCCTGCCTTGCCCAAAGATGAAACATCTTGTGATCTTAAGTATGTTTACAAAAGATCACTCAAGGCAAAGATGAGAGCAAGACATGTAAACTTAAATGATAATTCTTGTCTGTCTTCCTTGCAAACCTTCCATTTTAGGAGGCAGACATAAAAGGGCTCTTGAAATGATTGGACTAGAATCAAAAGAAAAATTCCTCTGCATTATTTACTTCAGTGAACAGTTAGAATCAGCTTTTTATAAGACTGGTTTTCCATTTTACTAGCAAAATTTCTTTTATCTTTACAAAAGATTTTCCAGACCCTGGCAAATAAAAGAGGAATAAAGCTTTCCTCTGTACATGAAGATAGCTTTCAGTCAACATCAGCTGATACTTAGTGAACTTTTCTGGAGTTCATCTGCTGTGTAAAATGGGTATTGATTCTGTTCAGACCACAACACAGTGAACTTGATTCTTCATGAAGTTTTAGCCTTTAAGAGATCACATAGAATGTTGAGCCTGATAATTTACAGTTTTTTAAAATTATTAATTTGGAGCTATTAGTGCATACATTATTTCATTTATTTATAGCCTCAATTCCTGATTTAATAAGAATTCTATTTGCTTAGTTCAGCTTTCAATAACTGCACTGTATTTCCTCTCAATTATATGCATATACGTATAGCTTTCTCCATGAAAGTCCTTCTTGCATTTGTGTTAAAACTTGTAGTGATCAATGAGAATGGTGGGCTCAACACTTCGAAAAACAATTCCTGCTTAGTTACTCATGTCTGAAATTTCACTCAACCTAAATCACTGAAGACTGCTCCTACCAGACTAATACAGGATCAGCCTATCAGGACGTTTTAAGCTAAACAACAAGAGAAATATCACCAGGCTTACAGGAATTTATTTTAGCATTGCATACAACCAACATGTAGCCAAAATCCTGCATTTTTTTAACATCCAGAGCTTACACATGCCTGGGAACTAGAGGATAAGCTAAACCTCATTTGCTAGCTTTTTGTGAAGAAGGGAGGAGACATCTCCATCCATGGAGCTCTGACTCTGCAGTCATCTGGCCACCCGCTGCCACCCCTGAGGCACCGCTGCTCTGACACATCTTATGATGCTGCTAGGGCTGCCTTATTTCTTTTGACTGTTTACATTTTAGACATGACAGAACAAAGCTTCCTGCAGCAGGAGTAATTTTAAATGCTTTTCTGTTCGCTTTTGTTAGGCTCACTGACTTAGCTTTATTTGATCTATTTAAGCTGACCCTAGTTTCTCATGAAATCCTTTTATGTCTTTTTCGTCCATCTTTTCCCAGTATTTTACACATAACTAAAACTGGATGAAAAGTGATTAAAAATGATGCTATGGAAGGAATTCTAATAAAATTAGTCAAAAAGTGAGCTCATGAATTAGTGAAACTGTATCTTATTGCTAGGGAACAAACTGTGAGCAGATGGATTAGTTCCACTCTATCAACTTTATTAATATGGCACTAATAAATGACAGAACAGTTGGCATACTGACTTCTATTCAACCATCTCCCTCTGTCCGGCTGCATTATGCTGTGACAGATGAACCTCCAAAGATTCAGAGGTCCAGGCTGATTCACAACAACACCCAAAAGAACTAAACTGAAACAAAGCTCTCGGATGTACAAAATAGGTCTGGAAAGCTCTCACAAGAAGAGAGGCAGTCTCCCAAGAAATTTCAGTTCACTATTGCTTTTGGCTGAGAAACAGTTACTATTGTTATTCATCAGGCACTAAGACATAGATGAAGACATTGCCTACTTCAAAAGACACACAAATCC